GATTTAAAAATAGTTACGCAAAACGGAGCGTGCTGCTCCGACCGGCTTTAAAGGGTTAATGCAGGTATACGTTAATGTATCTCTGAGTTCTGCTCTGAGCTGTAGAAATATTTAACTTTTATGGGCAAAATACTCAATTAATTAAATGCATTTATTTGTTGGTAAAATATGTCATTATAGACATTTGAACAATAATGTGACAAATATGTAAAAGGAAAAAAATGAACATAAAAATGCTGTTAGTAACACATCTGTGTTTTTTGTTGTTGTTTTTTACAAAAGAAGGAATATGTGTGATTTCTACATATGGAGCAAACAATACTGGCTAAACTGGGCTTTACTTTCTTTCCCCTGAGATTTTCTGTCATTTCCCCAAAGGACCTCAAAATCAATCTCCCAAAAGTTTGGTTTTGTTAGCTTGTTTTAGCAGGTCCTTCGTAGTATTTAGCTCACATTTCCTCACACTCGGCTGTCTTGTCTAACACATGGAGCTTCTTGATTTGAACCTTGACACAAGCAGGCACCTCAGTGGAAGTGCCAAAAACTGCAGTTCTTCTACTGTCCACTAGAGGCTGGCTACAAACGAAGTCAATCCAGAGAGGTTCCCATATGAAACTGTCCGGCCTTACAGCAGATATAATCATGCCTACAACCAGCTACAAAAAAACAGTTTTAGCCTTGATAGTTTCAACTTAGTGATAGCAGGACTTTTTAAATCTAACCAGTAGTCGACTGCACATCAGGCACATTCTGTCGTGGTTAGGCTGTGTGGCAGGCAGGATCAGGACCCAAACGCAGGACTCAAACACAAAAAGCTAAACTCAAAGCGGCAGCTTTACTCGCTGGAAAAAAGTCCAAAACTAAATACAAGAAGCAAAACATAAAACTAGAAGCTAGAAAACTAAGACTCAGTAAACTAGGAAAATAGAAACAAAGGAACTAAGAGCTGACAGGAGGTAACAATGGAAATCAGGAGCCCAGAGACAACACACAGCATTGTGACGGTACAATGCAACAACAGACAGAGGAACAAACAGGGCTTAAATACACCAGGGAGTACTGAGGGAATGGAAAACAGGAGGGAAGCACAGCTGGGGGTAAGAAAGGACACAAGAAGACAAAGGAAGCAAAGCTGACATAGGACACGGACTTTCAAAGTAAAACAGGAAACACACGAACACAGAGGTAAGGATGACAGAGAACATAGAGACCTGAAATGTGGGGCAGGAAGGCACACAAACAAAACCTAAACCATGAGGAAATCAAAGATGACACATGACCGTGACAAACTGCTCTTAGAATAAAACCTCACCTGAACAAAAAAGACAAACAGTGCATTTAATATATGAGGACGTCCTCCACTCACTCTGTGTTGTGGTGGACGGTGTCGTAGCGAACAAACAGCGACGTGTAGAAGGCTTCGGTCAGCAGCGAGTAGATGGCGATCATCACCAGCAGCACCGCCAGCTTCAGCACGGAGTTCAGTCGCAGGAACACCGCACACGTCACCATCGCCAGCACTCCCGTGAATACAAAATACTGTGAAAAATTAAAACGCACGGTCAACTTCATCTGAACAATAATGTATTTAAAAATGTCGGCATCAGATTCGACAGCTGGACTGTGTAAAACATGACACAACAAACACAAGCTTGAAAAGTTCCACAACTCTGCAGATGAACATGAAAAACATAACTGATTCAAATTTGATCAATATCCAATCAAAGTCATCTTCTCATGGACCGCTCTACTGCTTCCAGGGCTCTTGCTTTTTTTAAACACAGAAGTCCCATTTGGACCATTTGGGATTTGAGACTGGAAAGCTGTTTGACCTGGTGGCTGCTGAGGAGGAGTAGAAGACGTTGTGATTCGACTGGATTTTATTTTTCACTCGTTTCTTGAGGTTCTGCCAACCTCCCATAATGTTGATGGTGCAATAATTTTGTGCCAGCACAGACAGAAAAGTGAAGCGCTGCATGTGAGCAGCTCAATAGAGCAGAAGGAAAAGAAGGAAGACGAGACCGTATAGATGTGTTATATGTAGGGATGGGTACCGGTATCC